ACCATCTTTTCATTGTATTCGTACCGGTTTTGATGTGTTTAGTACCACTTGTACTGAACACATTGGAACACCGAATATCGGTCGAAAATGATGTTTATACGACCCATAATCACTCTCACACTAGTTTATATGATATTTAAAATTTGGTTAATTAACTATAATCTCAAATTGGTTACGAACTCAATGCACTAATGGAAAAACAATACTAAATACACTTCTGGTACCGGCTATCATTACAATAGTACCTGTTATTATTTTACGCAGTACCTGATACTGATAAATTAGTACCTACTTTTGGTCAACCAAGATGGAATATTTCAACTGTGGTCAACATTTAAAAAAAGTTGCACCATTCATATTGTAAGGTAGTACCTGTTTTTGAGTATTTAGGACCACATATGGAGTCATTAGTACCACTTGTAGTGAACACATAGAAACACCGAATTTATTATGTCCTACTTAACCTCCTTGGCTTATATAAAATTACATTGTACATCTTGACTTAATAAACTTAATTAATAGAATTTTAAATCTCATATAAACTAACATGAGAGTGATTATGGGTTGTATAAACATCATTTGCGATCGAATTTCGGTGTTTTTATGTGTTCATTATAAGTGGTACTAGTGACCAGATATATGGTACTATAATAACATAAAACAGGTACTCTATTACTCTATGACTGGTACTGATTTTAAAAATGTTGATGTGAAGCAACCCTTTTTTTGTTATTTCTACAAAACAGGTACTAATTTATCAATAACTGGTGCTGAATAGAAGAACAAGTGGTACTAATTCATCAATAACTGGTACCAATTGATCAAAAGACAATCTCCGACAAAATATCAAATACAACTGACAAAATACAAAATACACCTGGGAAACAACAAAATACACTTGGGCAACAAAAAAAAAATTACACATGCCCAAAAAACAAAATACATGAGTGATCTAGATAGGTTCTTTGCACGTACGTCGATTGTGTCCACGACGACCACAACGCTTGCACCGCCTAACCGCAACATCAACTTGTGAAGGAATTCTTTTTTCCCTCTTGCGTCCGGGCTGAGGTCATACATCTGGAGCATGAATGACATCATCATGATATATGGAGGAAGAGGCCACATTATGATCGTAGTTGGGTACAGGATTAATAGTACCTTGATAAGCTTGCCTATACATCCCAACCCGATAATATGGATCACAAAAATCATAGATGGACATTGACTTACTCTCAACACAAGCACATGCATGGGGACATGGCATCTTAGATAGTTGCCATTCTCTACAAGAACAAGCGCGAGTTTGCAAATCCACGTCACAACTTTTGTCCGCATCAACAACCTCAAACCTCCATTCACTTGATTGCATGATTTTGAGACTCCGGGAAGCATTGTAGCGAGATGAAATTATTTTTTCGAGCTTCGGACACAACGGGCCATTAAACCGTGACCCTCCTTCACGTCGATCGTGCATCATGGTCATAATTTGCTTTCGTATGTGATCGACCATGGCTACGATAGGCATAAATCGTGCAGCCCTCACCCAATTATTCCAACATTCGGCTTGATTATTATTCATGATCTCCCAACGGTCTCCGGTAAATAAAGAATTTTCCCAACAACTTGGGTTAGAATCCTGAAGGAACTTTAGAGCAAGAGGCATACAAGTCAATATATTATTTATATGCATATCAAATTCTTGCCTCGTAGGAGCATACGCAGCTTTCTTAAAAATATAATAATAATAATAATAATAACAATACACCACAAGAATCAACAACATTTAAAAATAAAAAAGGTACGAATCAAAAGAATATCAAAACATGCTTTATTATGAATAATTAGTGACAAATTAAATATAAATATAAACAGACTAATTAAATTTCTTACCTGATTCTTAAAGTTGTTGACTAAGTGTCGCAAACAATAAACATGATGGCTGCCAGGAAAGACCATAGGGATGGCTTTAAGAAGCCCGCTGTGTCGGTCCGTAAGAAGAGTATTATTCAGCTTCATGCAAAACCACTCCCAATTTTCATCGGTCTCGGCATCAACCACAGCATATGCTAAAGTGAACAAATCATAATGGCATCCTTACTCACAGCACTAAGCAAAATGCCTTTGAATTTATTTTTTATGTGAGTGCCATCCAAAAATATCAACGGTCGACAACCGGTTATAAACCAACAAGACAAGCATGAAAGCAAATGAACAATCGGCGGAACTTATTCTGGACAGGGTCAAGCTCACAATCCGCAATGCTTCCCCGATTTGTCTCATGCACTTTAGTACAATACCATCTTAATTTATCATAAGAGCCCTTGTCTGCTCCATGAATATCTTGCATGGCAATATCCTTCCCTAACCATGCCTTTCAATAAGGCAACTCCAAGCCATAATCTCTATGAAGATCTTTCAATATCGTGCATGGCCTATAGCTCGGATCATCTCTCAATTTCTCCTTAATTGCATTCGAGACCCAATGAGAGTCCGCTTTCGGATGCCCCCTTGTCCGAAGATTGGACACTCCACAGGTATGGACTAAATTGCTCTTCCGGATGGCAAATACCTGATCACCTTTGTATTTTGAGGTATATATCCTCCACTGACAACCCTCATCAGTACAACAAACAATGATCTTCTGTTGATCATTTTTTCGGTACTTGAAAGAACGCCTATTCGCAATAGCGTAGTTTTTAACAACCTTCCGAAATTCATCCGCGCCACCACTAAACATTTGCCCCTCTCCTTTGATGGAGAATCTCCAAGAATCGATCGATTTATCTTTCCCTACCAGCTCCGATTCTCCTTCCCGTAACATTTCCCTGCGTTCATGATAAAATAATACAAATTTTTATAAATAATAGAACTAGTTAAGAAATCAATGAATTAGGATATACCAATAATAAATTCATTAATATTATGAAAGCAACATTACCCGCTCAAGTTCATCGGCATAGATTGAACTCCATCATCCCGTCTTTCATTTCTTCCAATGCCCGGGTTTCATTTCTTTCAATAGCAACTATCTCCACAATATTTACTTTCCAACAAAGATGTAACCGAATCATGTTTTTTACATCCTCATCATTGGACAAACTAATTCTCTTTTTTTCCTTTGGCGCAATATAGTTTAACATGATGGTTTCCAAACTAACAATCGGCCACCTCTTAGCAATGAGAGTGTACACTTCGTCAAGAGTTGATTCGAGATAAGAGAGAACACATAAATTTCATCTTTGTATGTACAACTCCCTAATATATCGCTTTGTTCCCGTTCCATGTATCTAACAATAATTGGATTAAACAAAAAACAAGTTCACATTTCCCAGCACATATGGTACCAAAAGTGAGCAAAGTGGTACTGTATATCCAAAACGAGGTACACACAATCATGAATAGTTGTACTATGATTATTCTCATCTTATTTTTCTGTTTTATGGTCAATAACACCTAACATAACCTAACAATAGCATAAATTTAGTATACATGAACAAAAAAAAGGATTATGATCACTTTATTTGTTTTAGGGTAAATATAAAAAACAATATTCAAAATTCAATCCTTCACAAATCAAACAAAAATATATGAATTAAAGATGACTTTTGACTCCAAATTTCTCATATAATACATACATTACTTACTACTTCATGTTTTCACCGGAAAAAGTCACAATCTTGCCGGAAAAATAAGAATTATCGGACAGAGAAAGAGGAATTTTTGTACCCCTTCCATGTATCTAACAATAATTGGATTAAGAAAAAAAAATTGTTCACATTTCCCAGCACAGATGGTACCAACAGTGAGCAAAGTGGTACTATATATCCAAACAGAGGTATACACCATCATGAATAGTGGTACTATGATTATTCTCATCTTATTTTTTTGTTTTATGGTCAATAACACCTAATATAACCTAAAAATAGCATAAATTTAGTATACATGAATACAAAAAATGGATTATGATCACTTTATTTGTTTTAGGGTAAATATAAACAACAATATTCAAAATTCAATCCTTCACAAATCAAACAAAAATATATGAATTAAAGATGATTTTTGGACTTTAGAGTTCTCATATAATACATACATTACTTATTACTTCAACTCTTCGCCGGAAAAAACCACAATGTTGCCGAAAAAAATGGAATTTTCGGACAGAGAACCACAAATTTTGGCCGGAAAAAGCCCCGATGTCGCCGGAATTGTTGCCTCCGGTGTTCTTCTTGCCGAATTTGGTGTCGCCGGCGAGATGAAGCTGCAAAAAAAAAAAATTGAGGCCGGCGGCGAGAAGATGCAAAGGAGGGAAACGGGTTAGGGGAGAAGTGAAGAAGAAGCCACCAAAAATTAGATTTTTAGATAAAGAAAAATGGTAAAATAATGTGTAAGTGGGGATGATGTCATAAATTAATTTCTTTGTCATTTATTTTAATAGGAGGGATTTAAATGGAAGATGAATATGGGGGTAGGGAGTAAAATAGATAGATATTTTCACTAGGGACTGACTTGGAACTTACAATTAGGATTAGGGATTTTTAAAGAAAGCTCCCCAATTTTTTAATCAAATAATGTTGGGCAAGGAAATATGCACTAAAGTGAGAAAAGAGGTGTCTGCATTTTTTGTTTGGGAATTGCTTGCAACTTGCCAATTATTTTTGCTCCAACTGTGCTCAATTTGTTAGATAATTGAGTACCAACTGCTTGGGTCTCACGATAGCATAAAGAACATGATTTTATTTTTCTATTTTTTTATTTTTTTTATGTTTAAAGAACAGGTTACTAGAAGTTTGTTTACAAATATGTTGACAGATCTATGTTGTATGTATTTATTACATCTGTTAATTATTTACTCTATTTTGAGTTGCATAACATAATTTGTTTTTCTTTATATAACATATTATTTGATTTGATTTTTTTTATGCTTGTTGATGAAGATATGGAACTTGATCCAAATGCAAATTTATTTAAGAAAATTGTGAAACCCAAGGCTGTTTGGAATGGTGATACTCACAAAGTGTTTGTTGAATTATGTTGTGAGCAAATGTCCAAAGGGAGTAAAGTACGAACTTTTTTCTCTAGAGAAGGTTGGAACAAAATTTGTAGTGAGTTTGTTCAGAAAACTGGTCTGAACTATGACAAGAAACAATTAAAAAACCATTGAGACAATCCCAAGCAAGATTGGAAAGTTTGGTATAAGTTAGTTAATTCAGATACTGGGCTTGGTTGGGATACTATGAGAAACACGGTAACTGCATTTGATGAATGGTGGGACGAATATTTGAAGGTATGCTATTTATTTTTATATATTCATCAAACTAAAAAATTTAGACAAATTTATCGAATTATAAACTAATGACTTTTTATATTATAAATTATAGGTTAATGCAGATACTTTTAAGTTTCGCTACAACGGACTTGATAACTCTGATGAACTGACTTCCATATTTAAAGAAGGATATGCAACTGGAAAAAATGCTTGGGCACCTTCCGAAGGATCTCTACCAAATGACTCTATTGGATCGTGTCAAACTCAAGCAAGTAAATCTCTAGAAAATAAAAGATACGTAGATCTTGAGGTGCAAGGTGAAGAACCAAATAATGTAACCAAGTCGAATGAGATGAAAAATGACATTGGGAATGCTACAGGTGCTAGCCGCCATAAGCGAGTCAGAGATGAGTTTCCACCATCTAGACCTTCTCGTAAAGTCTCGTCTGCTGCGAATGTGGATCAGTATCTTGGTCGTATTTGTGAAACTGTTGAAGCAATGGGTGAAAAATCTGATAATACAATGCAAGAATGCATTAAAATACTAAATGAGATGTCTGCCATACCTAAAGGAAGTGAGCTTTATCTGTTTGCTTGCAGATTATTTTTGAAAAGGGAACAACGAGATTTATTTATTGCTCTCGAGGATTCCGAACTGCAGTTCTTGTGGCTTCAAGATGAAAAGGCGCAACATGATAGGACTTTTATTAAGATATATTCTTTGTAGATTAAATTTGGGATAGTATGAATTCGCTATAGGCAATTTCTTTTTTTTGTCTTTCATTTTATTTTTATTTTTTTTATTCTGTCAAGTTTATGCATTTTAGTAAGTATCTTGAATATATTTCAAAGTCATAGTTAATTTGGCATCATTTTCTCTTTCAGTTTGTTTATGCCTATGTTTGCAATTCAAACTATAAAATATAGTACTTATGTTGATTATTTATTTGTTTTGACTGAAGTAGTTGCTCATCTCTCTCATTTTATTCCAATTATTGTTTACCATGAATTTTTCTAATGTTGGTTTTGTATTATAGGATCATGGACAACGACAAGGATAATGAATACAATGAATTAAAAGATGTTGCGACAATGGGATTAGTTAGTGTTATGGTTGGTAGAATAATTTCTTATTATGCGAATCATATAGTGAGGGAGCCCTGTAGGGATTCAATGTATCGTGGCCATAAATTTGTTATGGATATTTTAAATGGCCATCATATATTGTTTAGAATGGAAAAACATGTATTTTGGAGGCTCTCATTAGAACTTCGAGGAAGGAATTTACTTAGAGATAGCAGAGAGGTCACTGTTGAAGAACAATTAGCTATCTTTTTAATGACTATCGGGCACAACGAAAGAAATCGAATGCTACAAGAGCGCTTTCAACATTCAGGAGAAACCATAAGTCGTCATTTCAATACGGTGCTACGAGCCCTTTTAAAATTTTCTATGGAAATGATTGTTCCACCGTCACTTGATGAAGTACCAAGTACATATGCAACAATCCTAAATATTGGCCTCACTTCAAGGTAATCCTCATGTATGTATAATACTGTTAAATAAGTTATTGATTCTTACTTGCTTAGTTATCTAATTTTTCGATTATTAAATAGGGGTGTATCGGTGCAATTGATGGAACACATGTGGATGCAGTCATACCAACTGATGAACAACTTGCTTATCGTGGGAGAAAGGGTGAATGCAACCAAAATGTAATGGCAGTATGCTCGTTTGACATGCGATTCACTTTTGTTTGGGCAGGATGGGAAGGATCTGCTCATGATTCTCCTATATTCAATGAAGCTATCCATAGGCCAAATTTGAAGTTTCCAATGCCTACCAGAGGTTAGTACACTCTCCTTCTCCTTTATCTTTCTGTCTATCCCTCCTTATATGACAAAAATTCATTAATAGGCAAATACTATGTTGTCGATGCTGGATATCCCAATATGTCTGGGTTTTTGGCTCCTTACAAAGGCACACGGTATCATTCAAGTCAATTTCAAAGAGGGCAACGTGCAAGTGGACCAAAAGAATTGTTTAATTACTCTCATTCATCACTAAGAAATGTAATTGAACGTTGCTTTGGAGTATGGAAGTCTCGATGGCCAATTCTTAAAAAAATGGCCAAGTTTCCTTTCGAAACTCAAAGACTAATTGTCGTTGCTTCGATGGCATTGCATAATTATATAAGACAAGAGGCGATAGTAGATGAAGAATTTAAACGTTATGATGAAGATGAAGATTATGTTAGCGATGATGAAGAATTAGACATAGACTCGGCGGATCATTATGGTGAAATTAATGAATTGGTGAATGATCAACCGAATCAAGAAATGAGCATTCTACGTGATGCTATAGCCGATTCTCTGTATCGTGCTACATGATGTTAACTATCTTTTATATCTATACTTTGACTTTTCGATTTATTTTTTAATACATTATTGGTTTGGAGATGAACTTTAAGATATAATTATAATTCTTCCAATATTTGTTACATAATGGATTTTTATTTGGTGTTTCATTTTACTGTCATTTTAAAGCATGTTCGTAATATATGACCTTACACGGGGAGAATTGGTCAAATATATTTTGCATAATTTTGTTTCTTTTAAATCAATAATCATATAACATTATGTGGTTAAATATGACATAAAAAATATTTTTTGAATATCATTTTGATAAAGGCAAAAAAAATATGAAAAACTTACTTATCAATATATGTAAATGGTTCATAGATAATAATAATATATATGTCTAAGATCACCATAAATCATATGTAGCAGGTAGAAAATTTTTACGTGTAAAAACTATTATTATTTAGTAACTAAAGCACTTATTTAAAATGAGATTCACCAAACATGTGTGAAAGTTGTGTAAGGACTTTTGTAAATGCACTTAATGAAAAGTCCATTTTTAAGATGGACTTTTGTAGAACAAGTGCTCCCAAACAAACCCTAAGTCACGTTATATATGCACTGCCAACTACCCCATTAATTAGGCACCCC